GTTCATCATCCATCCGTCCATCCATCCATCAACAATGCAAAATCAAGTTACATACATAGCTTTACTGTATATTTTACCAAATTCATATAAGTATTGCATCTATATATGTTACTAATTGATGGACGATGTTTCTCTTATTCAATTATGTCATCTGAGTTCTTCTTCTTCTTGTTTGGAATCGGAATTGGAATAGCGATAACAATATTAGCATTAGGAGACGATGACGTTGTGATTGGAATCGACCTTGGAAGTGACTATGCTTGTGTGGGAGTGTACATCAACAACAACAGTGGTCGTGTAGAGATCATACCGAATGAACAAGGCAATACAGCAACACCCTCATGGGTTGCATTCACTGATTATGATGACGATACCGGCCCTTTAATTGGCGAGGCTGCAAAGGATCAAGCGTCTCTCAACGCACAACGCACTATATTCCATGTCAAGCGGCTTATTGGAAGGAAGTAGGGAAATATATGTTGCTTTTAAATATCTATCTATCCATATTCATCATATATAGAAATTTGAATCTGTGCACTGTTATCAACCGAGTTTAATTTATTAGTTGTGTTGGTACGTACGCTAGGTATGATGCTCCGGAAGTTCAGAGAGATATTAACTTGTTACCGTATGAGGTTGTGAACAAGGATGGAAAGCCTTGTATTCAGGTCAAAGTTAGAACAAAACAAAGGTGTTTAGTCCCGAAGAAATCAGTGCTATGATATTGGCTAAGTTGAAGGAAAACGCTGAGGCATATCTGGGGAAGAAAATTAAACACGCTGTCGTCACCGTTCCAGGTATATATATTGCACTAAAGCAATGGTCTAATTAATTAACATCTCATTCGTGTTCTGCGTTTGACACACGGACCAAGTTATGATTGGATTAATGCATACATTCAATGAAAATTACTTCTTGGATGGTACATGCAGGAATAAGAAAAACATATATGATGATGATGATGAATATGATATATAGCTTGAATTCGTTGGTTTAATATTGGTGCTTGTTGTAGCTTATTTCACAGATGCGCAGAGGCAGGCTACTATGAGTGCAAGCAACATTTCCGGGCTCAATGTTGTTAAGATACTGGATGAGACTACGGCTGCAGCGGCCGCCTATGGCCTAGACAACAAAGAACAGAAGAACATATTGGTTTATCATCTCGGTGGTGGAGTTGGTGGTGGTAAAATTGATGATGTTAACATCTTGACCATCAATAATGGTGTGTTCGAGCTCAAGGGAGCTACAAGTACTGGAGACAGCCACGTGAGAGGTAAAGACAGCTTCGGAGTCCTCAGAATGATGGGTTCTTTCATCAAATTATTCAAGAGGAAGTACAACAATAACAACAACAACGAGGAGAAGATTAAGGCTCTTGAGCCAATTAAAAAGGCTTTAGAAGATGCTGGCATTAATAAAACAGATATCCATGAGATTGTGCTTGTTGGGGGGACTAGTCGAATTCCTAAGGTGCAACAGTTGTTGAAGGACTTCTTCAACGGGAAAGAGCCGAAGAAAAAGGGTATCAATCCTATTGAGGCTGTTGCTTTTGGTGCAGCAGTTGAGGGTGGAGTCCTCTTCAGACTCAGAGAAGGAGAAGGTGGGGATGAAACCAAATTTAAAGGTATCGTCGTTTCACTTGTATTTGCTTGTTTAATTAGGGTTTGATGATATTATACCTAACAATTTTTTTTTCTACTTTGCTTCCAGATCAACTTTTCCTTGATAATACTGATCCTTTTCGTCTCCTTATCAAAATGAATGTTGGTTTGATGACCAAATTGGTTAGCAAGGGTGCCATCTTTACTCCAATTAACGAGTCTCGGACCTTGAGCACGTATCCATCAAGGTATAACTTTACTTGTTGCATGCATTTTAAGCAGTACGTATATGTCTTCTGTAAAAGGAAAATGGAAAAGATTAACTTATACATGGGCATATTTGAAAATTATATTACCAGGTGTTTGAAGGTGAAAGAAGCATCAGAAAGGATTACCATGAACTATTTAGACCTGCACCTCTTCGAAGGTAGTTAGAAACCAACGAGACTAGTTATTTATTTATTTATTTATTATTTTGCCTCTTGGTTTCAACTAGTACTTGGTGTCTAAGTTAGCATGCATGTACTAGGAGTGAAAATGGAGGGAGGCTTTATATATTTACTAAAGCTGCTTTGAATCTGTACGTAGCTGGGGAGTGCATGAAAGTATAAAGAGCTCTACGCTGGCTGATGCAAATGTCACCCAACATGTGAAAGCAGAGGAGAACAAGGTCGGAAAGGCTAAGAGGTATCCGCTTATCCCAATCGGGATAGTGAAGAAGGAGCCTGGGGAACTTGCTGTACTGGACGAAGAGTTGTCAAAAACAATGTATGCCAGGTTCAAGCTTCAAAACTTCATATACAGCATGAGGTCCGCCTTCAAGCTGATCGATAAGATGGACCTGTATGACATGATAAATTATGACTACAAACTTATAGAAGCTCTTGAGTGGTTGCTGCATGACAGCCAAATTATGAATGCAGAGAAGGGTGATTTTGATAAGAAGCTGATGGAGGTGGCTCGAGGGTGCTTTCACGTTATAAAGAAGGTTATTCCCTATGCCCTCTCTCTTCTCCCCCATCTTCATCTCCCTTTATCTTCTTCCTATCTACTGCAACCCGGAAAAAAGAAAAGAAAAAAAAAATAAAATAAAATTTGTCCCTTACCCCCCCCCCCCAGGCGCCCTCTATCTACTTCCCCCCTACCCAACCTGCAAAAGAAGAAGAAAGAGAAGGAAAAAAAAACAAAAAGGTCCGTCCCCCCCCCCCCACCCAACCTGTAGACGAAGAAGAAAAAGAGAGAGAAGGAAAAAAAAAAACAAGAAAAAAAAGAAGGATACCCAGTTCGTCCATCCCCCCCCCCCGGGCGTACCCACCATTTTCCCTCCACATCCATTCCCCCCATTTTCTCCGCGCCCAAGTTCTCAACGAGATCTGGGTTTTTTTTTTTTGGTTTCAGGTAATGGGTACGAGGTTGGGTGCAGAGGGTGGGTGGGAAGGTGGGGAGGTTGGGTGTGGAGAGTGGGTGCGGAGAAGAGGGGGTGGGGAGCGGGGAAGACAAATTGGAATTTTTTTTTTTTTTTTTTTTGCTCTTCTTTTTTCTGGGTTGAAGTTGCAGGAAGGGGGAAGAAGAAGAAGATGGGGAGAAGAGAGAGAAGCAGGGGAAGGGGACGAATTGATTGTTGGTTTTTTTTTTCACTTTTTTTTATTTTAATATTTAAAAAATATTAAATGATTTTTGTGGGCCTCGGATCAAGCCACGTTAACATTTAACTGAGAAATTCACGCAAAGCTAACGGAAGGTATAACATTGGCACAAATTCATAAGATGAGGTATGACATTGTCAATTTTAAAAGATGAGGTATGAAAGTGTTGTGACACCAATAGTTGACGTAGTTTTTTATACTTTACCCATTTTTTTTATATTTAATTCAAGTTGGCACAATTAGAATATGGAGTGCCAACTTGTCTGGAAAAGGTTATCTGACAAGTTGTCATAAACGAGGCATAAATAGTGGTTCATTTGTGCCTGCCTATTTGAGCACCAAATAGTCTATTTTGCACTTTTAGCAAATGTAACGCCCATAGAGGGCATATATAGAAATATAGTTGCTGCATTGTTGTTATTGGTCTATGGGCACATATGTTGGTGCTCTTTGGCCTCAAAGGACACAGATAATTTATTGTGCATAGTGGCCATATTTTTTGTAGTGTCTTTTGGCACATATTTTCAACCATTTTGTAGGGCTCACTTCGTAACGCATTTCAACAATTCGAATAGTCTATATTTTAGTACATCATTGCAAACAATTAGACAAATCCAAAATCATTAAGATATTCTTTTGTAGTGAAGAAAATGGACAAATACAGTCCTACAAAGAACACTAAATTAATCCAATGGCCATATGGTTTCAGATTTATGTAATTTTTGGTAGACATGATCTTTGGGTAAGCCATAAAAGATAGATGTTTGGATCGTTGAAATAAATTACAGAGTAACACTCACAAAAATGTGTGTCAAAAGCACATGTCCCTGGCTCCTAACTCATATATATTACAATTCCAAGTATATACTAAATTAAAAGCAACTCGCAAATGACTCGTAAGTTTTTTAAGGGGTAAGTCTTCAATAGTCTGGATATTCAGTAGTTCGGCCTTATATCTATTAAATTGACATATAAGCAAAAATAGTATTTCCTCAATTCAATCATGAATGTTCATTTTTCATACTATTGAGTAGTTTAGACTATAGAAGAAAAAATATATTTTTTAAGAGACTGAAAGTTATGGTTCGAAGCCGCACCACCAAAAAGGAGATAAATCCATAAATGGCAAAGAAACTAGAAATCAGTGACAGAGAGCCAAAAAATTACATAAAAAACACATGATGTTAAAGGAGTCAGGTCATGCACATTGTTCTAAAAATCCTCGTTTAACGTCGCTTAAGCCTCACCTAGGCACCAGGTGATTGGCTATCTCCCGGACTAATCCTTGGCGTTTGAAAATTAAGAAAGGCGACTAAACCTGCTTAGAGCACCCGCGTAAACTGCCAAGGTGCCTGTCTAGACTCGTATAGGCCGACTCTCACTTAGACAGAAAATACATAACTTTCAGCTTGCGTCTTATTTTTTTGCATAAATTGTAAGTCTTATTGAATACTTAGATGAACACACATTATTTGTTTATTCTCCATGTTTTCATTTGTTCCTCATCTTATGTCATTTGTATCATAAAATTATATTTTAAAGTATAATTTAAAGTATAAGCAAACATTTATTTATACGATATATAATAAATTTATTTAAATCCACCAAGTGCGTTGCTTATAAATTTACTTAGATCCGCCTAATGCATTACTTAGGCTCTGTCTAGCCACCCAGGCGCTAGGCCTCATGCTCGTTGCTCAACTAGAGCCTAATATCTAAACCTAAGTCATGCATATGTCACAATCCATACATGGCATTGTCTGGTAATTTTTTTTGAACAAATGATGTTGTCTACATAAAGGGTGAGGGAGTGCCCTAAGCCTCACAATAGGCTAGCAATAATATGGTTCAAATTCGGCTTTGACGAGAATGGAATCTCAGACTTTCTCACTTACAAGTGAGGAGGAATACCATTAGACCGCAGTACTAAGTGGCCATTGTTTGGTATTAGAATACAAAACAAAACCGACCGAAAAATCTCTGTATAACTGCCAAAACATACCAGACCGATATCGGAGCAACCCAGCAAAGAACATAGTTAGCCATGGACCTTCAACTATCATCTCTGGCACCTATTGTGACGGTCACAATATTGGTCTTTTCACTGTTTCTCTACACCCTCTGGTTGAATTGAGGAGTAGTAGTCAGAAGAGCACCACCAACAGCACTAGCGCCAGCTGCTGCCGGTGCATGGCCTATAATCGGCCACCTCCACTTGTTAGCATTCTCATCAGAACCTCCCCATGTGGTGTTGGGTAAATTGGCAGATAAGTATGGACCGATTTTCACTATAAAGTTCGGAGTGAAGAGAACTCTCGTTGTGAGCAGCTCCGAAATGGTAAAAGAGTGTTTGAAGACCAAGACAAAATCTTTGCTAATCGTGTGAAATGTCTGGGCTCAGAAATCATTGGCTACGACTATGCCTTCTTTGCATTCACCTCTTACGGCCACTACTTTCACCAAGTACGCAAGATCGTCATGCTTGAGCTCCTTTCCGGTCACCGCATTGAGATGCTCAAACACATCAGAGAATCCGAAGTGAATGCGTCAATAAAAGAAATATACGAGCGGTGGACGGAGAACAACAAGAGTAGTTGTTCGAATGCAGTGGTTGTGGAGATGGAGGAGTGGTTTGGGGATATAAGTGAGAATGTGATATTTAGGATGATTATAGGGAAAAGATTTTCTGAATCTACAAAATGTGTGAAGAACTCGGAAGGAAATTTAATTGGGAGAAAGATTTGGAAGGATTGTTTGAGATTACTTGGGACTTTCGTGGTGTCGGATGCGATTCCTTTGTTGAGGTAGTTGGATTTGGGTGGGCATGAGAAGGCCATGAAGAAGATGGCAAAGGAAATAGATGATATGCTTCAAGGAAGGGTAGAAGAACACAAGCAGAAGAGGAAGATTGGTGGTGGCGTGAAGGATGACGAGGAGCGTGGCTTCATGGATGCAATGCTTTCATCAATTCTCGATGGTGATGATGAAGTTACCAAGGCTTATGATGCCGATACTATCACCAAAGCTACCACTCTGGTATGCTCATGTTAATGAAAGTCCAAACTAATTTCTGGTTTAGTTTATTTAAACAAGTTTTTATTTTTGTCTGAACTCTGAACTCAATTCTGGTACTTGTTAGTTGCACAGAAAGCACAATTAGTTTATCTTTGTTTAATTACACTAATTTTACAAAATAGGATCTCCTTCCTCGTCAACATTTTCCCTCATACTTAACTGAAAAGAAGTTCAATTTTTTTTTTAAAGAGTAATGATAGGGAGATCAAAAATTTTAAACCAAATTTGCAAACTAAATGATGTACTTGTAGATGATTAGATTATTAATTAAGTGTGGATTAACGTGCTTGTTTTCTATTGGTGACACATCATTTGATTTGCAATTTGGTTTAAAAAATTTAGTTTCCCTAACATTACTCAACTGACACACTAGCACACACTCACTATGTAAGATTAGTCTCAGTAGTGAAAGAATGAGATACAGAGTTAGGAATAAGATAGGTACATGATTCGATTCTCTTTAGTTAATGTATAAAAAAAAAACTACCCATTTTTACTGAGCAAAAATATAAGAGAAAAGGAAAATTACCAATTTTTCATGTAATACTTGCACAACGAACGCAATTAGGGTTCTTGATGTTCATATAATAAGGAAGTAATTAACTGACAATAATCGAAGGATTTGCATAATTGTTCTCCATTGAAATGATAAATGGACAACATTTCTCAATCACATAAATAGACCTCTCATGGGTACATGTCAATTATTGTAGTCATCATAACATGATAGGACCATGTCTCGACACAGTTGATAATGTAAGTTTATATATACTTATGTCTTTTGCAGGCTATTCTCTTAGCAGGTGTAGATGTGACCACAGGGACGTTGACATGGGCATTATCTTTACTTCTCAACAATCCTAAAACCCTAAAAAAGGTCCAAGAAGAACTAGACCAGAATATTGGTAGAGATAGGCAGGTAAATGAAACAGAGAACAACAGTAGAAACTATGTACACTTGAAAAGGAGACTTCAAATGGAGCATCTATTTGCGGTTGAACCACGAGGAATTGGAGGTGGTCTCTGTGTGTTCTGGAAGGATGAAGTTCAGGTTATTCTTATGAACTCTGAGGAATTTATGATTGAGTTAAAGCTCTGGGATGAATCATTCAATTGCTTCTGGCGTCTGTTTGCCATTTATGCAAGCACTGATGAGAGGAAAAGACGAAGCCAATGGTTGTCCCTGAGTAAAAGGATTGAGAAGGACAAGGATAGATGCCTTATTTTAGGAGACTTTAATGATATTTTGTGTAATGAAGAAAAGGAAGGCAGGAACTTCAGAGGTGCGGCCAGCATGAGAGAATTCCGAGGCTTTGTGGCAGGTAATGACCTCATGGATCTGGGGTATGAAGGATACCCCTTCACGTGGCGAAATAACAGGGAGTCTCTTCCCATCCAGCAGAGGCTTGACCGTGGCCTTGTCACTCATGGGTGGCACGACCTTTTCCCTGATACTATTATCAGACACGTCGTCCTTGAAGGTTCGGACCATGCTATGCTGCTGCTATCTACGGAAAAGTTTCGGGCCTGGAGAGGCAGGAAATTTTCCTATGATGGTCATTGGAGTAAATCGAAGGAGTGTCGTGAGCTTGTGGCGGGGGAGTGGATAGATAAGACCAGTGGATCCCATGCTTACCGGTTCTGCGAGAAAATTAAAACGCTCAGGAAAAGTCTTAAGCTCTGGTATAAAGAAACTGGCAGGAACTCTAAAAAGAAGGTTGAACTTTTGAAAGCTGAGATCAGAGTGGCGCTTCAGTCTAAGGATTTCTCCTCTGAGGCGGTTAAGCAAAAAGAGAAAGATCTCAGGGCAGCCCACAAGGACGAAGAGCTCTACTGGAAAACTAAGTCTAGGAATCAATGGCTTAATGAGGGGGATAAGAACACCAAGTTCTTTCACGCTCAGACTCTGAAAAGAAGAAGGTTAAATCAGATACGAGGGATTGAAGACTCCCAAGGGGTGTGGCACGAGGAGGACACGGAGATTGCCGACACGGCTGTTGCCTATTTTACTGATTTGTTTCAATCTTCTAGACCGAGGCAAATTGATGATATTGTGAGAAATGTTGAAGCCAGGATCACACCTGAGGACAACAATGCACTAACTGGCCCGGTGACTACCGCTGAAATTGTATTGGCAGTCTCTCAAATTCCTCCTTCTCGGGCACCGGGACCGGATGGGTTCTCTGGTTGCTTCTATCAAGACCATTGGAATACTGTGGGAGAGGATGTGGTTAAGATCATTAAAGCCTTCTGGCATTCAGGTACTCTGCTGCGAAAGCTAAACCATACTAATTTGGTTCTCATCCCAAAAGTTAGATGCCCAAAGAACATGGCGCAATATAGGCCCATTGCCCTGTGTAACGTAATTTATAAGATTCTTGCTAAGGTTCTCACCAATAGGCTAAAAGTGGTGATGCCTAAAGTGATTGGGGATAATCAATCTGCCTTCGTTGCTGGTAAACAAGTCCAGGATAATATTCTTGTGGTTCACGAAGTCCTTCACTCACTGCTTCATCAAAGGAGGGATGACCAGGCTGGTATGGCCATTAAACTTGATATGGCTAAAGCCTATGATCGGGTTGAGTGGAACTTCCTTACTTCCATAATGTCTAAGCTGGGTTTCGCGCCCCTATTTTGTAAGTGGATTAAGGCATGTATCTCCACGGTATCCTTCAGCATTGTGGTTAATGGAACCCCGACCGGGTTCATCGTGCCGCAGCGTGGTTTGAGACAGGGTGACCCTCTCTCTCCCTTTTTATTTCTCCTGTGCACTGAAGGCCTCTCGGTGATACTCAGGAAAGGGCTTGAACAAGGTGCTCTCCACGGCTTCAAGTTCACGGCCACGGGAACCCCGCTTACCCATCTTTTCTTTGCTGATGATTCGGTTGTTTTCGGCAACGCCACTGTGGATGATGCGCGTGCGGTTGCTGAAGCTCTGAAGGTTTATGCTGGCGGATCTGGTCAAGAAATTAACTTAACCAAGAGTTCAGTGTTCTTTAGCCCTAAAACCCCTAATCGTACAAAGAGGGAAATTGAGGGAACGTTGGGGATCCAATGTAAGCAGGGTTTTGGGAAGTATTTAGGGCTGCAGGCAGATTTCGGTCACTCAAAAAAAGTTGTCTTTGCGGAGGTTCGCGATAAGGTGGAAGCCCGGTTGGCGGGATGGACTGAACAATTCTTATCCCAAGCTGGTAAGGAAGTTTTAATCAAAAGCGTGGCCATGGCCTTACCAAATTACGCCATGAGTTGTTTTAAGCTTCCTATTGGAGTTTGCAGGGACATTGAGAAAGCCATTCGAAAGTTCTGGTGGAAAGGTAACGAACAACGCCATGGTATTCATTGGGTTTCCTGGGAAAGGATATCGAAACGAAAGATGACAGGTGGCCTGGGCTTTAAGGATATTCAGTGCTTCAACTTGGCTATGCTAGCTAAAATTGGATGGAGATTGACTTGCAATCCGACGTCCCTGTTAGCTACAGTCTTGAAAGACAAATACCATCCTGGTTGTTCCTTTAAAGATGCAGGGAGAGGGAAGCTCACCTCCTGGGGTTGGAAAGGTATCTACGAGGCCCGAAAGGTTCTGCTAAAGGGGATTAGATGGAGGGTCGGGAATGGAAAATGCATAAACATCCGAGATGACCCTTGGTTCCCTAAACCCTCTTCCTTCCGAGTTTGTCCTTATGAAAACCTGGATGCCACTATGGTTTGCGATTTAATAGACCCGGTTTCAAACTCTTGGAAGGCTAACAGTATTTTTGCAGGTTTTCACCGTGAGGATGCAGACACTATCCTTAGCATTCCGCTAAGTCTTTTTGGCTGTGAAGACAGATTGATGTGGCGCCACTCTGTGAATGGGGTTTATTCCGTGAAATCCGGATATGGGATCGCCATGGAATTGATGGAAAATGGCGCTTTGGGAAAGAAGGGGCTAGGTGCCCTTAGTGAGCCGATGCAGCTAAAAAAGGTTTGGTCCAGGATTTGGAGCCTGCAGGTCCCTAGTAAAATTAAGCTTTTTATTTGGCGATGCTGTAACAATGCCTTGGCTGTGCGGCGAAATATCCAGAGACGACACATGCGGGTTGACAATGTCTGCGGAGTGTGTAACGCAGTGGACGAAACCGAGAATCACTTATTTTTCCGATGCAGGTTCAGTCATTCTTTCTGGTTTTGCTCTCCTCTTCACCTGAATTCCCACGAACTGGAAGGTTTTGATTTTCTCGATAGTTGGGGAAAGTTCCATGAGGGTTTGAAAGGTAAGGTAAACGCAGAGGAGATATGTCAAGAATTTGCTTTTGGATTATGGAGACTATGGAAAAACAGGAATGATGCTGTCTTTAAAGGGCTGTACCGGCAGCCTCTCGATGTTATGGATTTATGGTGGAAGAACATTATCGAATTTAGGGAGGCTTCTACCAGTTTGGGCGATGATGCGTGGAACATGGATGTCACCCCCCTCTCTGCTGCTGCCCGCCCTAGCCTTCACTGGCAGAGACCTAGGTATGGGACCATCAAGATCAACACGGACGCGGCCTGGTGCAAGGATACCCTCCGTGCTGGTATGGGCTGGGTGGGGCGTGATTTTGCTGGGGTGCTCCAAGCTGCGGGTGGACTGGGTACTGTGCTTTGCCTTAGCGCAGCGGCGGCCGAAGCAATCGCGATCCGTTATGCATTGAAGGCTTGTATTACCCATAGATTCAATCATGTTGTTATTGAATCTGATGCTAAGCTGATTATTCAAATGATCAGAAAGGAAGTGACGGTCGACTGTAATTTGGATTGTGTTCTTGGCGATATTGAGATTCTAGCGCAAAAGTTGACGTCGGTGACGTTCGCGTTTGTGCCTAGGGAGAGCAATCATGCTGCTCACTTGGTGGCTAAGCACGTGTTCAAGGAAGGTCGAGACATTACCTGGGATTGTATTGGCCCAGAGTTTTTGTTTAATGCACTTGCTAAAGATGTAAACCTTTTGATTCGTCTTTAATTTATTCTATCCTTTGACAAAAAAAAAAATGAAACAGACAGATAAATTGGTCTATCTCCAAGCTGTTATCAAAGAAACGTTGCGTTTATATCCTCCAGGACCACTAGCACTGCCTCATGAGTCCTGACAAGACTGCACTGTAGGTGGCTACCATATCGCAGCAAGGACTCGCCTCTTGGTTAACATTTGGAAGCTTCAACGAGATCCGAAGGTGTGGTCCGACCCAAATGAGTTCATCCCGAACGATTTCTCACAACCCAAAAGAGCATTGATGTTAAAGGTCGAGATTTTGAGTTGATTCCGTTTGGTAGTGGAAGAAGAATGTGTACTGGAATGTCACTTGCCCTAAAACTCATGCCATTATCACTTGCTTCTTTGCTCCATGCGTTTGAAGTTTCAACTCCAAAGGATGAGCCGGTTGACATGAGACATTGGAACTAACCAACCATAAATCTGCCGTACTTGAAGTCCTTCTCAGTCCAAGGCTTCCTGCTCAATTATATTAAGAGTGGTGCATAAAATGCATGGGTAGATACTTTCTTCAGCTTCCTTCTTTGGTTTTAGTACGTCTCTTAGATTTCTTTTTTATGTTGTTAAATTAGTTTCGATCTGGTATTCAATATTATAGAGGTGATACAAATGATGATACAAATATGTGATAAGTGTATAGCACATTCAAACTTGTGGTTTTTATTTTTCAATTTTTTTGATAAAAAATAATTTAAAGAAAAATATTAAGAAGATCATCTTTTTAGATCATATCCTATAAATCACATTATGTAACGGTTGATAATTAAATTCTTTATTTAAACCATTAAGCAATAAATTCAACCAGCAACGAACATATTATGTGCTCTATAAAATAAAATTTAATAGATAAAAAAGAAAAAGAAAAGAAAAGAAAGAAAGAAGGAGGGAACTGAAATTCACGTGACAAAAGAAACAAGAGCACCAAGAGTGCCAAAAACAACTTAAAAACCAGCTGCCATGCATGGACTCCACGTCTCTCATTCATTTCCCTGCTGCTACGTACGCATACAGCTCCCAGCGTGTGCCTTCGTAGAGTTTGCATAGAAACAGGTCCCGGCGGCAGGCGCATTGGGAAAAGTCAATATTTGGTGCTAACATTAACTCACCGAGTTCATTGTCGGATGCAATTAAGAAATGTTTTTTATCATAAATGGTTTTTAAAATTTACTTTTATCATCAAGATGATTTTTGAAATTGAAAATCAATCAATGTAGTCCTTAAAAATAGGTGTTACAAATCAATGTGGTCATTCCGTTACAATTCTGTTAAAAATTCCGTTAAGTGTTGATGTGGCATATAAATGGCCCCCATAAGATTTATGGGTTTTTATCACAAATGGTCATTGAAATTGACCCACACCATCAAGATGGTCCCTAAAATTGAAAATCGATGAATGTAGTTGTTGAAAATAGATGTTGTAAATCAATATGATCATTCCGTCACAATTATGTAAAATTTTTTCTTATGTGCTAATGTGAGTTTAATAATTAATTAAAAAAAATTGTCTAAATACCTTTTTGCACAAGAGAATTTTTTTTCTTATAGTAGGACCTACTCTGAAGAGAGATCTCTTCCATAACTTCTCAAAGGCACAAGGCTTAACCAAAGCCTAAGAAGGGGTTTGGAAATAGTTTTCAACCAACAATAGATGCATCTTGGTTATAACCTCATTATCTCAAGCCAGACCTCGTCGTTCTTTGAGTCACAATACCACCAAAGAAGCACCAAACAAGCTCTCCAAGATTAAGGTTGTGAGGATATTGATCGCCTAAATGTTAATGGTGATGTTCTAGAAGTCGTTGTCAATCAGCCAAGTCGTCACCAAAGGTGATATTGATCAAAGTTCAATTCGATGAAGGGTGTCGACATGTGTAAAGATGGGTGCATTGAGATTTTTTTAAAGAATAGATAGAGGTAGAGGAATGTGGATTGGGATCGGAGTTGATTGCAGGATCACTAGGTTTTTGGTTTCACAACTTTTTATTAACTATTAAATCATTAAACCTATTTGTAAAAATTTTAATTTAATTAGACTTGTGTGATCCATTTATGTGTCACATCAGCACATAACAGAACTTTTGACATAATTATGATGGAATGACTATATTGATTTGAAGCACTTACTTGTGGGACTACATTGATTAATTTTCAATTTCAGGGACCATTTTGATGCCGCAGGTCAATTTCAATGACCATTTTGATGTCGCGGGTCAATTTCAAGGACCATTTGTGAGAAAAATGACTTATGGGACCCATTTATGTGCCATATTAGCACTTAATAGAAATTTTAACAGAATTGTGACGGAATGGCCACATTGATTTGCGACACCTAGTTTCAGGGACTACATTGATTGATTTTCAATTTCAGAGACTATCTTGATGGTAAGGGTCAATTTCAAAGGCCATTTGTGATAAAAACCCATGATGCATGAATATATAGTTTTTTTTTAGGGGGGGGGTTTAACTTTAATCTTTCAAGAAGATTGAAATTTAAAATAAAACCTAATGTTAGATTACACATTGATTATAGTCCCTTGATGTGTCCTTAATGTGCATTTTATTTAATATCTTCCATTAAATATTTAAATTTATTAATTATATACAAATTTTAATTTTTTTAATCAAAAAAAGTTTTTTTTTTTTTATCAAAAGAATTTTTTTTATCAAAAAAAGTTTTTTTTTAAATTTATTAATTTTATTTAACATTCTTCAAACTTGAAAGCCTCAATGTCACATCCCATACCGGCTCCGCCGTAGCACGATATTGTCCGCTTTGGGCCCGACCACGCCCTCACGGTTTTGTTTCTGGGAACTCAGATGAGAACTTCCTGGTGGGTCACCCATCCTAGGAATGCTCTAGCCCAAACTCGCTGAACTTTGGAGTTCCGATGGAACCCGAAGCCACTGAGTTCCCAAAATGCCTCATGCTATAGGGAGGGGAGCATGTATATATAAGGCACATCACCCCCTCTCCGTTGGTCAATATGAGATGTTACACTCAATCAATGTACCTAAATATATGCACCGAAATGTATTATATTGAACTAATGTATTTAAATGTTAGTATCAAAATGTATGTACTGAAATATATGCACCGAAATATATTATATTAAATAAATGTACCTAAATGTGTGTAATGAAATGTATGCATCGAAATGTTAGTACCAAAATGTATTATATTGAATTAATGTACCTAAATGCTTGTATCAAAATGTATATACCGAAATGTGTGTACCTAAATGTATGCATCGAAATATATTATAATGAATTTAATGTACCTGAATGAGGAAGACAAAGTACATTGAAATATATTGTACAATAAAAATTAGTTTATCTAAATGTTTACAACAAAATATATTACAATAAATGAAATGAAAATGAAAATTATAATGAAATAAAATTAATACATTAAAATTGGGAAGAAAAAGATAAATAATTAAAAAATGAAAATGTAATTAATAAATGAGGTTATTAATGTATCAAGGGATTAAAATTATATTTTGATCTTACTCATGGTTTTAGTCTAAAAGTTATCTTTGCCAAGGATTAGAATGAAGTTTTCTATTTTTTATAAAAATCATATTACATGTTTGCTAGCTTGTTGAGTTTGATGTTAATCAAACCCTCCACTCTTGTATCGAATGAATAATATATGCATTCCTCCATCGAAGGGATGAGCTCATTCTCCTATTCAAATATTGAATATTTACCGCACATATTTTATAATTGGAATCATTCATTTTCTTAATCTTCACCCTTATAAAAAAATCATTGGAATCAGAGATCAGTTAGTCACTGAATGTTTGAATAATTAAACGATTTTTTATTCGAATGATTTTTTGTAAGAATAATCTTTAAAAGATGATTAAGAAATTGAACAGATTCTAATCTTTAAGTTATATGCTTAAATACCTTATTCTCAAAAGGAATAGATGCGCATATCCCTCATGAGTGATGCAAGTATTATCCATTAAAAATTGGGCCGAACCAACAGTCTTAAAACAGATTTCTATGCTTTTAGTTTTGAGCAAAATCCGATTTTGTACGTCCATGCCACTAGTCATCCTCTTTTTTAGGGGAAAGAAAAAAAATTACCTTAGTTGGACAACAACAATTCGACGGTGAGGAGATTTTTAAAATTGGCCGTTGAATCTAAAACAACGGTCCAGATGACAATAAGGTTTAACCTACAATAGAATGGGAAAAAAAAAGCCATTGAATAGTGGTGGTGGTGGCATTGGTTGATCGTGTGCCACGGTGGTGGTCACGATATCTTCAATGGTGGTTGCAGGCCCGATAAGGATTCTCCAATGGTGGCTTCTATCTTTGAAGGTGGTTGCTAGGCTTTATTTTTGGCTGGATAGAATCATAAACACTTGGTGCCATTTTCAATCCAAAAGGTTTCGGAACTAAATAAAAATTCTAATTCAGGAACAGAAAATTTGAATTTCATATACTCATGCCACTTCGGAATTTTCTGCAATTTTTGGATTTTTGGTACATAATACATTTAACAAAAAAATAATGATCATCAACATGAACCAATTTTTATAAATTCACACATCAAAGTCAGTTCTAATTATAAAACATATTCTCAAAATGGCATAACGGGATGCACGTGCCTCATACTTTCCTAAACCAGTTTTCGTTATAATTTTTGTTTGACTTTGAGTCACACTTCCTTCAATGAAATTGTTTTTGCCAATTGTCATTTTAATTAAAAATATGATACTTTTGTCCTCTCATTTCCAAGATATATGTGTGAGAATTGTGGAGAAGCATAGCAGGGGATTTGAACCAAGAGATGGGAAACGCAAAGAAATTATGGACAACCACCCAAGGATGCATGCTTTTTGCTATTTAATCAAGCTATCTCAGGTCATGCACTTTATAAAGCAGAAGTACAATTTCTTTGCTTCAATATTATACAAAGTGCAGGTAATCTATCATCATTTGGAGCTTGGAGATGGGGGACCTTCTAAGCGAAGATAATCATACATAATACCCTGGAAAGGGCCTGTTGTGCTTCTTGGTTGCGTCAAATAGATAATGTTGTCTCCCTCGACAAGCCGAGAGCTTGGTACGTCTACATTGTAAAGCCAGTAAAGCCCGTGGATTCCATGCCTTGCTATTGAGTTGTCTTTCCCTATCATCCCGCTCGTGAATAGAGGGCGATTTGCCTTTGGATCGTTCACCCAAACCTTTATATATAGAACATATACAGGTAATATTCACTAGTTAAAGCAGAATTTAAAGAATATGTTCTCGCCAAACCGCCTCAAAACATTAGTGTGGATTTGATCCATTGATAATAAAGTTGATTATTTTATGAATGCATGGTACGCACATACACTTTACAGTTGGACAATATAAGAATCTATCTAGTAACATAAGTTTGATAATAGAACATATCCATGAAAAAAAATATCCATGCATGGCACATTAATGATGAAATTATAATCAAATAGTGAGTTGTGAAATATACCTGCAACTCTGAATAATTTGCAGATGCAAGTGCCACTCTTAGCTTGTAGGAACCAGTCTTGTCTACATTCTCAAGTTTGAATTTAATTTGCCAAGTAGTTCCTTGATATTTATTATCATCTTTCTTCCTGTATATGGTAATCAGCAATCAAAATGCCATAAGTATTAAGCCGATACATTGGTCATCGGTATTCTTGCTTCTAGTACTACATATGATAACCGTACAAATTGCTTGTGGATCAAGAAAAAGCGATTATATATAGTATGGCATGGGAAGAATTGGCACCTAGTAACCTGAGCAAAGAACCAGTCTTTACTGTAGTCACTGACACCTACGGTATAAACCAAGTCTTGATCAGAATATAACTCTGAGTATCTTTCCCACAGTCCGTACTGCCTAAACCTGCCAATTGAAATCTTAGTTCATACCTTATATCGAGTTGTTCCTCATTTATGCAAAATCACAGTCTGCCTCAAATCATTCTTATAATTTTTATAGTAATTTTGTATACACATGTCAGATTGTGATTTGCTGGTACTTGAAATAATCATATGCTTAAAAGTACGAATAACAGCAAGGAGCATATAATTAAGCAAACCTGTCAGGATGATTGACAAAAAGTTTGTTGATGTACTTTGGATTAGGGTCGGGAACATAAAACTCTGCAGCAGAACGATCAGGAATGCCTATTTCCCATAAAGTAGGGCCATCTCTGGGAGGCTTATATACAAGATCACCCATATCAATGTCACAACCTGCATTGCCTACATTTGTTAATTTCCATTTTTCTTTCAACATTTTAGCATAGCTGATAGGCAAACGGAAAGAAGAAAGCCCTAAAACTAACAGTAGGGAATTAGTTGGACCACCTGAGGTTATAGTCATAACAACATCGTAATGATAATCTCCAATAAAACCAGGGACTGATGCATTCAGATTATAATCGCCGGTGCGTACCCCGTTGATGCAAAAGTAGCCATCTTCATCGGTTGTGGTCCAGAATTGATAGTCCTGATTAGTAACGAAATGTGAGATTAAGAGCAAATTAAGTTTAGAATTATATGTTTGAACTTAGTTTGAGCATGTAGGATTCAGTCACCTTGCACTCTCTTTGCCACGATCCAACGTCTCCTGGCGGGGCTAACCCAACATATGCACCATTGATGGATACATAATCATCGCTAACGTATCTTGATGTTGAAAAAATCAAATACCAAAATTCCAAATGGAAGCTTGTTTAGTGTCCATAGTCTTGGATTACAAGTTAATTATCAAAAATATTAAGACGTGACTAAAATAATTAATACGTATAGTTGTGTACCTGTCTTGAATAAGTAGTCGGCCCCTAACATTACCCCGTTGGCGTGACTTGGGAAAATCCTCAGATGCTGGGAAGCTGTAGGGCCAGCTCTGGACTTCCATCACCATCTGCAGCAGTAGTACTACTTCAATTTAATTAGTTCATTGAAGGAAAATTACTTCCGCACTATTTCTGTCCCTATTCTTCATTGATTTATTCAGTTCAAAAGCTAGCTAGGATTAAAAGGGGGTTTGTAGGGGAGAAAAAGGGTGTCCAAAAATCACATCCCTTCATGTGATCTATATATATGTAAATCACCACCATTCATGTGATCTATATATAGTGTTTGGAAGAAAATTAAAAAAAAAAAAAATTAATATTGCTATTAATTAATGTAAATTAAACCTGTAATTTAGCATCCTCCCATAATGAAAGTGGATCATTTCCTTCGTATGCAGAATTAACATACATAAAAACTGGCCCAAAAACTTTCTTCCATTCCTCACCAACTGCAAATTTTGGCACCAAATCTTCTCCAGAATAATGTGCGCTTAGAAACACCTGATTGTGTCATTCATATTTAAGCAAAAAATAGAACTAGCTAAAGCATTTAACCCAAAATTAGTTGGCAATGTTTGGAGAGGGAGAGAGTCAAAATCTTTTATAATACGTTGTTAGGTTTACTTTTCCGATGCTAGGATGAAGTTCAAGAATGACAAATTAAATAGGAGTTTGAAACAGACACTGTAACAAACATAGATGGTTGAGTTTTTTGGGTCACTTACCGCAAGGGTGGTGGGGCCAACATGGGAGGTGAGGTTTTGTTTAAAGGGTCCACCGGATCGGAACTCTTGGCTTGGTGTAATTAGCCAGAACCCTACCAGTGGCTCGGTGCATATCCATCCATGTACCTTGCTATCTTTGTTGTCACATGAATATTGATACTTGTCATCCACCTGATTAATTAAGCATCAAGTAACCGGGGTAATTGATAAGATTGTCATCTTTAAAAAAAGGTTTATTTTTCATAATTTTTTTCCTATGTAATACAAGATTCAATGAGAAAATATATATAGGTAGGAAAAGTTGTTACTTCTCCTTTAAACTCCGGCTCCACAGGATTGACAAGAAGAACTGCCTCCGGATAGGCCAGGGCTTGGCCTCTCGGTGGTAAACGGTCATCAGGCAAGGGCATGTATCTTTGCCTATTGTCCGCCATGGCCATATAGTGAAAGCTTTTTTCAATCCAAAATGCCACACATATCACTAATTAGATTAACCCTTTTATCCTAGTAACTTTTTAAGCGCTAATAAAGTGTTGCGTGTGTTTGGAGTAATTTTTAGCGTACATAGAACATCATCACGTAGTGTTACTATTTCACTCTAATTATATAATATATGTATTTGTTTTTTGTTTTGTTAATATACCCTCGATCTATCTTTCAACCATATTATAAGTGTGAAATAGTAATACCACGTAGCTGCGTTACAATACACATAATTTTTTTTCTCTTTCCTATATATAGAAAATTGAGAGAATTTGTGTACTTGTCTTTCCGGAGTTTGAAGGCAATTCTGGTTTCTGCAAGCTGGAAAGCAGGCCAGTCCTTCAAGTGCTCGTAAATGGCATAGGAGTAGAAGCCTGAGCACCCTCGAAGCATAATGAACCTACGTGCAAATCTACGTATGATCATTCATAGTAATCGAAACATTTTCAAGATCTATATATTCAATTAAAATGATGGCAATGTGGATAGAGAGCAATGACCTTTTATCAATATTTAAGGGTACGAGTTGTCCCTCTTGGGAGGGATCCCAGGTTCTTGTGAAAGAGAGCTCCACCTGTTCATCATTTTGCATTATAACCGTAAAGCTTGTTCCTTTGATCCTGCATGCATATTGCTTTAGTAATGTGTACACTTTGTTCAAATGGAACATTGTTACCAACCGAAATTATAACATACAACTTAATATTGAAGGAATTATGTAGCGAAAAGGGGATAGGTGTAGGATCATCGTAGTGACCATGTATTAACCATGTAGAACCTTTTATATATTTCAATGTTTTCCCATTTTCTATTTTAAGAGTCCTATCGTCCCCTTTTTTGCTACAGTAGAATGAGATCCTTGCTAAGAAGGTAGTGTGTTGTGGAGAGGAGCATATATTTCATGTAATAAGTATTATTAATTAGTTTATGTAACTTTCAAACTACGTACCAGCCAACTAGTTGAGCTAAGCTAGTGGTAACGGTGTGATCTTTTCTCAGCATTGGAAGTACCATTTCTAAACCCAAGTTCGTCGACCAAAAAAGAAAAAGAAAGCAATTAAGAGATCCGTTGTGAAATTTCATGTTCATAGTCAATCGTTTTAAAATTACAGATTATGTAAAGATATTAGGACACAGATTGAGGAATATATTGTGTTATGTTCTGATTATACTATAACTTTATATATATATATATATATATATATATATATATATATATATATATATATATATATATATATATAGGACGTACACATCAAATGTTCCTGTTGTTCCAGTAGTTGCTGAACTCCAAACAAGGTCCCAGTACCTACAATATTTTCCATTCAAACTAATTACAAATTAAATAAATAAAACATATTGATCAGGACCATGTTGTAAGCTGTAAAAATACCCTCTGTTAGATTCCTCGTTTCGAATTTCAAGCAAGTTATCGATGCCATTGTATCGGATTCCAGTCACGATTCCGTCTGGCTTTGATAGCGTCACTTGGACAATCCCATTATCCATCATTACCTGCAATTCATTTCACCATGAAAAAGTTTCAAACCAAACCAAAACATGCATGTATGCATGCCTACAGATTTATCAAATTAATATGCAGAAAAATTAAGCGTAATTTTCACTGCAGATTTTATCAGGTAATTTACATGGTCATCTTGGACAAGCAATTGCACCCCAATAGGTGCCATGATGGATGATCGATCGAGCTAATTTCTGGAACTTATTTATGTACTCCAATGGGAATATCAGTCTCAATTATTTATCTAGTTTTATAGCACTAAAAGAAAGAAATAAATAAAAAATAAAGAATAATGTGATTACTTGGACTAAAATGAAAGCAAAGTATTTCCAACTTTCTTTTGTGTAATCTATATATCGTTACGTAGTCGGCACCATTGATTGTTAGGTGTGCAGTGCAAGACTCGTTATGTAGAGCAGGCCAGCCGCTATTATAGGTTACGATTCTGGGATCAAATCTTTTACAAAGTGTTTCAACATTTTCTATGAAAACAAAAACAGCACAAGAAGTCTAACTAGAAGTTGAACTGATTAAAAACCCAAGATTATCGTAACATTGTCCAATATTATCATGCTCAAGCTCAGAAAAAGCTCGTAATCGCAAGCTCAAGCTCAACTCGGATAATTTTTCAAGCTCGAGCTTGGCTTGACTCGACTCCGCTTGTTTGTAAACTATACATGAGTTTTTTTGTTGGCTTTGCTCAACCCATTCCTTAAACAAGCTCCAGCTATGTTTAGTTCGATTTAATTTTCATTAAAACCTAATAAAATAAACATAATAACAAACCGTTGATATTGTTACTGCAAGAGTGTGCACAAAATAATAAGTTAAATACTTTAAAATGATTGCATATCCAACATAAAAAGATACGAGCTCCTCAAAAAGTTTGTGAGTCGATCTTACAAAAGTTCAAGCTCAACTCACTTTTTTAACGAGCATAATATTTTGTTCAAGTTCAGCTTGTTTAACATACGATTTGCCCATGAACGAGCTCAACACAAGTCAAACTCGAACCGTTCAAGCCGACTTACAACCCTAGGCATTAGCTATAAGTAATAGCCTTCTCAGGCTCCAATGCAAATCAAACAACCAATCGAGCTCACTTCAGATACCTGATACGTAATGTACAAAAGTAATCTCATTGGCAATAGATAGATTATTGTATACATCGGACAGTGAACACTGCACATGTGAGTACTATTGAATTGTAGGTATGTAACATTTATTTAATTTATTTTGAGAGAGAGAGAGAGAGATATATATAAATTATACAACATAGCATATATTTTATTTTGAACTACAATTACATATATGTATGTAATATTATTCAATTGTATGTATGTAGATATATATACATGGAATATTACACAGGCTGATGCAAACATATGAGTTTCAATCTAAGATGAACTCAAATTACAAGGCGGGGGACCTTCAAATCGTATATAATCGTACATAATCCCTTGGAAAGGACTGGTGCATCTTGGTTGTCTGAAGAAGAAAGTGTTATTCCCCTCAACAAGCTGATTGCTTGGTACATTCATGTTGTACAGCCAGTAAATCCCATGAATTCCAAGTCTCGCAACCGAATTATCCCTCCCTATCAATCCACTAGTAAATAGAGGTCGCCTTGAATTTGGATCATTAATCCGAACCTTACAAAAAGAAACGAAAAGATAAATCAGTGTGAGTTATAATCTACTAATGAGAACGATCATGATATACTATACCTGCAATTCAGCAAGAGTTGCAGATGCAATAGCCACTCGCAATTTATAGGTAGTGTTCCGATCCACATTTTTCAGTTCAAACTTAATCTGCCATGTTGTTCCTTCATGTCCGTTGTCTGTTTTCCTGCAGTACACAAGAACTCTAAGCACCAGGTAACTAACACGTGTCTCATTTTCCTTATGATTTTCACAATGATGGTCATTATTTAAAAGAAGAACCGTACCTGGGAACCTGAGCAAAGAACCAATCTTTAGCATAATCACTAACACCGATAGTGTAAACTAAGTCTTCATCAGGATATATTTCAGCATATCTGCTCCACAGCCCATATTGCCTGAATCTGCCAGAAGGACAAGGTCAAGATTTTAATAAGTTATTACCGAACTCTTGAGCATTAACATGGGTTTGAGGTCCTAGGTTGGTTTCCTCCCTCATCCACTATTGTTTGCATCAAAGAAAAATATAGGTGCTTAATTTGGCTGATGGATCATTTTAAATGAATAAAGCGACATACAGGATGATACAGATAATATTTCCACCATTTGCATGTTTGAACTTACAATGATACAAGGCTAGTTTTGATCACATTGTTATGACCTTATAAAGATCGACAAACATAAAGATCAACAAACAATCAACACTTTAACACTGAAAGAAGATAGCTTACCTGTCAGGATGATTTATGAAAAGTTTGTTGACATATTTTGGATCAGGATCAGGAACATAAAACTCCGCAGCAGAACGATCAGGAATGCCTATTTCCCACAATGTTGGCCCATCTCTTGGGGGCTCATACACAAGATCACCCATTTCGATAAAAGAACCTGCATCACAAGTTATGAAACCAAAATGTTCAATAAAGGGAAATGAGAATGAAATGTAAAAAACAATTGAATCTACATTTATGAAGTTTGCAGAAGTTGAGAAAATATACCTGAGGTTATGTCAATGACAGCATCATACCGGTAATCACCAATAAACCCAGGCACCCATGCATAAAGATTATAATTACCAGTACGCACGTTGTTAATAGCAAAATAGCCACGGTCATCTGCTGTTGTCCAGAATTGATAGTCCTAAGAAGTGTGATAACGAAATAAGAATGTCTTTAGACATGACTTATGGACTTTGGATGGTGTTTTGGTACATATAATATATAATATGGTTGCTTCATATAGTTTCAATATTAAGAGATATAACAAAAGGCATGTATCAACGAAGTATGCTATGCCATAATAGATCACTCGAAACTTTTTCTGACACAAGATCACATAAAAAAGCAGCTCAGTGATAGCAGCATTATCACAATGCAATTCATCAGGCTCCTCAGAAACCGTGAGTTATACTGTTTCCAGTTGCATCATTTCGAAGCACAGCTTCCTCATTAAGAAAATAAATCTTAACATCTTGCAGGCTCTTTATTATATGGTGGACATGCGATTGACTGAGAAAGTAGCATTTTTGAAAATATGAGATAATTGTTCGTGGTAACTGTGAGACCTTTAACACAAAAACCACAAATGTGGGATAATGTCCCAGTGCTCTGTGACTAGCCTTTAATGAAGCCAAGCTATATTAAAGAATAGAACCCTGATCTAGATTTCAAATACCTTATCAGAAAATTAACATAATTATAAAAAATAAAAACCATAAATTTTCTTCAATGTAGCACATAACTAATAAGCAAACATTGTGCAGCCCAATATGTAATTGATATAGAGGTTCACAAAATTCACCTTGCATTCTCTCTGCCATGATCCCACATCTCCTGGTGGGGCAAGACCAACATATGCACCACCTGCTGGTGTGTATTGTTCACATATGTACCTGGACATTGTAATTAAGAAGACTGAGATCAACTTATGCATACTCAGAAAGATTTTGAGGTAAAACAAATGTACTCGACCATTAGTTTTCTTATTTTTCTTTCTACAATGAGAGCCATCAATTTGATACTTGGAAATTAATTTATCATCCACTCATGTTAATTAATTGCTTATTTTCAACTTTAAGTTTTCAAATAAAGAAAAGAAGTGAAACTGATAGTACACCAGCAAATCTTTTCAATACTCAGATTTAGTAATTAATAGTACAAACCCTAAAAGATAAAACTAATGATACAAACAAGTGTATCTTGATACAAACCTGTCCAAGACAAGTAGTCTACCACTCACATTACCCCGTTGATCCGACTTTTGAAAATCCTCAGATGCTGGGAAACTATATGGCCAGCTTTGTACTTCTGTCATCATCTGAATACCATTTTGTATCAGCAATTTCTGCTTAAAAACTTGCTTTCCTAATTTTCCATCTTTAGAATGAAATTGGGTTTGTTTTCGACGACAAACCTGTATTTTAGCATCCTCCCATAGCCAAAACGGATCATCTTTGATTGTGGAAGAATTGAGATAGATAAAAACAGGGCCAAAAACCTTCTTCCATGGTTCACCACCTCTAAATTTTGGCACCAGATCTTGTCCCGCATAATGACCACTAAGAAACATCTGATGACACCAATAGAAAGGTCATAATCAGACTAATGTCCCAAAGTTATACCAACATCTTTGACAAGCAAGCGATCCACATTGCAAAATGTCTCATAGTGACTAGTGTTCTAAGAATAATCACATACAGCAAGAGTGGTAGGGCCGACATGTGAGGTTAGGTTCTGTTTCAGAGGTCCACCAGATCGAAATTCATCACTGGGCGTGATCTGCCAAAACCCAACTGGTGGGTTGGTGCATATCCACCCATGAACCTTATTATCTTTGTTGTCACAAGAATACTGGTACTTGTCATCCACCTACAGCTCACGAAATTATAACATAAGAATCAAAACATAACAGAGGTTTTGTATGGCCTTCAAAGTCCACAACTTTAGTTTAGAAACATCTTGACCCACTAACGGGTAACTTCCACCCAAAAAAAAAAAAAAAAAACAATGACAATAGAAAATTAACTTGGAAGAATATGTGAGAAAAATTGGCTCAATAGTCCCATGCCACTATCACTCCCGAAACAGAAAAAAACTCCAACACAGTACTATACAGTAGGAAGTTGTGAGAAAATACCTCTCCTGCGAGGTCTTTCATCTTGGGATTGACAAGTAGGACAGCTTCTTGGTAGGCAAGGGTTTGGCATCGTCCTGGTAACCGGTCATCAGGTAGGGGCATGTATCTCTGCCTGTTGTCTGATACAGCCATGTATTGGAACCTATCCACTCAAATTGTACCACTGTTAATAATTCATATACAAGCTAAAATACTAAAAGGAATATGTTTATTACTATTTTTTTTGTTATAGCATATGCTGACAAGGTAATGTAAGACACACACACAATAAGTCAATAACCTTTTTTTCTCACTTCAAGTTTGAAATTGTATTACAAACACAGAAAAAAAATATACTTCAAATAGTTAAACACAGAAAAACAATATACTTCAAATAACTAATCCTGAGAACTCTACTAACTACAAACTAAATAATCCCGGAATTCTAATACATATCCTTAGTTTTTAACTTT